AAAAAAAAAATTATCTAAAAAAAAAAAAATGCAGCCCATTATCCCTCAAGACTGAAACATTGAAAAAATTCAAGGTAGCCATCAAGACCAGCAGAGCACCCGGTTTGACTGGTGAGAAATCAGGCCTCCCTGGAAACGCTGAGGATGGAGAACTCCTTCTCAAGAGCTCCGCAAACTCATGCCTCAGAAAAGGTGGCTCCAATGTATGTCTGCACAGATGTCAGAGTCGGTCAGATAAGACAATTTAGGGAATTCCTGGAAACCTACAGTAAAGGTACAGAAACCTCTTTTTGGACTGTGTTAAAGACTTCACAACAAGAGAAGTAAAACCTGAAGATATCACCCGTTCAGAACATTTCTTACAGAAATATTTAAAAATGACACAAGGGCTGGGGAGATGGCTCAGTGGAATAAGCGTTTCCCTGGCAAGTGCAAGGGCCTGAGTTCAATCCCCGGTTCTGCAAAAAAAGAAAGAAAAGAGAAAGAAAGAAAAATGGCACAGGGAACACCCGTGAGGTTTCCAGAACACCATACTCAGCAGAACAAAGCGCTGGCAGCTGCAGCAGGGCTCCTTGGCCAGCCGTGATGAAGCAGTCTAGCTGGATGGACTCTTAACACGAAGCTGCCCTAGCTGTTGCCCTGGGAAAGAGGATTCAACTGCTGGCATCTCTGGAAGCGGTGGGCACTGTGTCAAAACATCCGTCATGGTTATTTGGCAAAGTGAACCACTGGAAAATCAGAGTCGATGCTCACCCAGAATAAGCAAAATGAAAGGTCTTATTCAGAGAAAATAAGAAGGTGAAATATTTGGTGAGGCCTTAAGAGTCAGCATCTTGGTCACTTCATTAGAAAGATGAGTCACTGTTTCTTCCATTGTGACTATTAATTTTAACAAAAATTGTATGTCCAGTTATGTAAGAGAAAACATTATTAGAAGTGAAATGGAAATGTCACTAAAAAAATTCAAAATATAGACATTGCCATTTAAAATCGCAATAGTTCATATAAACTTTACAGTTGATATAGGTAATGAAAAGATTAATAAACTGAAAACAATACTTAGTATTCCACCCAGAGTATAGCATAAAGCAATGAAAAATTTTACAGAAACATCATTCTTAGTGTTAAAAGTTTTCCCAATAAAGCCAAATCAAGATTCCTTTATTGCCACTTCCACTCACATTATCCTCAGTGCAATGATCAGAAAAAAGAGATGAGTTATGTGAATTGGAAAAGTAAATAGGAAAGAGTCCTACATTTTTTCCACATCACTTGATGTTCCACATGGAAAAAAATCTAAGAAAATCTACAGATGAACTTTCATGTGAGAGACCTCAGCACGGCTTTAGGGCAGCACCCAGATACCGGCACTGTTGCAGCACAAGGGGATGAATTATAGGAGGGGAAAGCCCCACCCCCAATAGCAGTAGAAGCTGAAATGTACCTGTGCTGTGGTCTAAATGTTTGCGTCTCCCAAAGTTCACATGTACCCCAGGCCCTGTGGTAAGGGCATTAGGAAGCACGCCCTTGGGAGGTAAGTACACCACAGCAGGGCAGTATGAATGAGTTTCATGTTACAGAAGAGACCTGGGAGCGTCTCCAAGCCACTGTACCCCCATGAGGACATTAAGAAGGTGGCCATGTGGGATGCAGGAAGCAGAGCCTCGCCAGGCACTGTGACCCTGCTGACTCCTCAATCTTGGACGCATCCCAGCTTCCAGAACTGAAGGAGAGGAATTCCTGTTGTTCATAAGCCACTTGGTCTGAGGGCTTCTGTTCCAGCAGTCCAACAAACCAAGACACCTGGGGGGTAAAACCGAATCAAAATGGACAAGCTTGCTACGGAGAAACTTAGAATTTTTGATTGAAGGACGTAAAGTAAAATCTAAGTTAGAGGCAAGCCACGTTCATAAGTTTGGAACAGATTTAGTTCTTTCCAAAATAAAGATTGATAACATTGGCTACTTTAAAATTAAAAACTTCTGTTCAACCAGACATCATAAATCAAAAGATAAATTATAGGTTTGGAAAACACATTTGCAATGCAATATAACATATAAAAACTAATATGGGAATTTACTAGTGAATAATTGACCCATTGACCCAAACTTCCCATAAAAAAAATGAACACAGTATTTGAACTGGCATCAAGTATGAAAAAGTCCTTTGAAGACTTCTCCTAATACAGCTTCTCTAACAGCAGAGGAAGACTCATCTCTGACAAAACAAAACAAAAAAGGGGATATAAATAAAGGACCACTTTGTAATGAAAAGATATATATATATATATATATGTATATGTAAAATAGGATGGATACACATCTACTTCCTCTTAGTTCAATGAGAAGAAAGGTTTGTACTAATATTGTTTAGACATGATATCATGTCTGCATCTTGACCTCTGAATAACCACTATGAAGACCACAATATGCAATGTATTAATTATTACAACTGCCCTACTAACATGTTTTGAAACTATTTCATTGCTATTTTATTTTCTCATTAAAATGAATAAAAAATAAAAATAAAGAAAAGAAACATGAACCCAGGATGTGCACAGGCAGCTCCTGGAGCAGGTAACCTTAGTGGATGCGCACCGATAGAAGCTCAGCTGCAAAGAACAGAGGATTATAACAGCGTGTGAGGCTATGTCACCTCCAACACATTGACAGAAATGAAAATGCCAGAAAATCCTAACTGTTCTAAAGCAGCAGAAACTCTCCCATGCTGCTAGTGGAAGCATAAGCTGGTAAAGCCCAGCCAGGTGGCAGGAGGGCATTGGTGGAATGGGATGGGCCATGAGGGCTCAGGAGTAGGGCAGTAGAAAAGAGAGAAGTTGGGCTGGCCAGATAGCTCAACAGACTAAAGCGCCTGCTTAGGCAGAGCTCAGGGGCTGGGGCTTGATCCCAGTGCTGGCCCTGCCCCCAGGGCATGCTGAGATAGGGATTGAGGCTGGGCATGGTGGTGCACACCTGTAATCCCAGTATGTGGTAGGCTGAAAACAGGAGGAACCCTATGAGTCCCATCTACCTAGTGAGACCCTGTACAACCTGTAGACCCTGCCCTAAATTCATTTAAATAAATAAATAAAATAAAAAATAAATGTGAGCTGAAAGAAAGAAAGAAAGAAAGAAGAAAAAGAAAGAAAGAAAGAGAGAGAGAGAG